CTGACTGGGTCGCCATCATTTTAAATCTATAAAGTTCGGCTTTGTAATGGAATTCGTCATTTTGAATCGATGTTTGCAGACAGTACATAGAAACCAAGTGTGTCCAGGAAGATGATGTCTGCACCTGCCTCCAGACTCCAGAGCCTGGCAGACCCCAGCTCAGTGAACTGTGTTCAGGGGCATCGTGTGCACAGCTATGGAGGAGTGGGGAGGGGAAACAGCTATTGTTTCCGGGGTACTGGGACTTGCCATCCTAACTCCAATTAAAAACAGAAAGGGTGGGGGAAAATCTCACGTGGAGGACTCTTTCTTCAGAATAGTCTTTATTAGTTTGGATACTGTCTGTCAACACTTGACTTATCTCCTCTCATACTTTGATATGAGTCCATTCACTCAGGCTCCTCCTCTCCCCATATCTCATATATTGTGACATTATTGTGCGGGTCCATGGGTATCTCTGGGATCTGTAGCCTGGGGTTATTGCTGGTTGCCATAGAGACTTTAAGATTCCGCACCTTGGACACAAATTTTACCAGTTCCATCTCGAGCTGGGTTAAAGTATTGAAAGTGAAGTCTTTGCTGGGGGAAATAGTTTGATTTTTCTTTGGTGGAGAGCGAAATTGACAGCTCCGAAGGCTGGTAGGATTCTGCTCCTGTCAAGAAAGATATCAGGGTGAATGACTCCACTGGTCTCACAGTTCCGACACAGTTCTAAACATTAGGCTCATCTAAGAGGGAACACGATGACAAACCCAGTCTGAATGTTGACAAGCCGTGACCAAACTGGCCCACCACTTGCTTTTGTAAATAAAGTTTTATTGGCTCACAGCTGAGCTCAGTCATTTGCCTATCAGCTGTGGTTGTTGTCAGGCTCCAGTGGCAGGGGTGAAGCAGCTGCCCTTGAGACCGGATGGCCTACAGATGGGAGAATGATTCCCAGTTGATCCTTTGTGGGCAGCCTCTGCTCTAGCCAGAATGTCACGCATTGTGTAGACATGGGCATACATGTGCATGCGTGTGGAGGGTGATACTGGTGCTTTCCTCCACTTTATTTTCTGAGACAAGGCCTCTCACTGAATCTGAAACTCCAGAATTCTGCTAGACTAGCTGTCTAACAGGGCGCGTCTGTCCCTGCCTCCCCAGCTCATGGTTACAGGTGTGTGCCACCATTCCTGACTCATACTGGTGCTGAGGATTGAACTCGGGCCCTCAAGGGTGCACGGCAATCACTTTTCAGAAAGGGCCATCTCCCAGCCCTGGCCAGTGTCTTGAAATGTTGGGTTCGTCTAGGACTGGAGTCTTTCCCTCGGACCCCTGAAGAGATGCTGAGACTTTGTGGGGAGCATGGTCACTGCTCTTTATCCTAGTACAAGCCTCGAACTTCCTTTACTTGAAATAAAATTTCCTTTGGTTCAGAGACTTGTGATGAGTAAAAGCAATGAAAACAAAACATGCAGGGTGTGTGTGTGTGTATGTGTGTGTGTGTGTGTGTGTGTATGAGAGAGAGAGGAGAGAGAGAGAGAGAGAGAGAGAGAGAGAGAGAGAGAGAGAGAGCCTGGCTCAGTGAGGGTGTGTGTGTGTGTGTGTATCAGAGAGAGAGAGAGAGAGAGAGAGAGAGAGAGAGAGAGAGAGGGAGAGAGAGAGAGAGAGAGAGAGAGAGAGAGAGAGAGAGAGAGAGAGAGAGAGAGAGGAGAGAGAGAGCCTGGCTCAGTGAGGGTGTGTGTGTGTGTGTGTATCAGAGAGAGAGAGAGAGAGAGAGGAGGGAGAGAGAGAGAGAGAGAGAGAGAGAGAGAGAGAGAGAGAGAGAGAGAGAGCGAGCCTGGCTCAGTGAGGGTGTGTGTGTGTGTGTGTGTACCTGGCTCTGTGAGCAGGTCCGACATGAAACACACCATGAGCTCTTAAATCTACTCAGTATGGAGAAACAAAACTTACTTCACAGAAAATTGTGAGCTGTGTAGTAACCCATTTCAAACTGTCCCAGCCTCTATGGATGTGGCCGCTACTACCATCACCAAGGAAGCAAATCCCCCTGGCCTTCCCCAGGAGCCTGACACTGGTAGTCCTGCCTCTAGGAACAGAACCTGTGTCTCTGAGGCCCGGCGGCTTCCTTCCCTTACCTTGTTCTTCTCTCCGTCTCCTCGAAACTTCAGCATCACATATATCATAATGACGATAAACAGCCAGAGCCACTTGCTCCCAAGCCAGCCTTGGGTGTGCTCTGGAAGATTCTGTCTAATCCGGAAATGTCCTCCACAAGGCACCTTCCCTGGGCTTTCTTTGTTTTTCTCCCTCAACGAAGAAAACATGAAGGCGCAGGCGCAGGAGATGCACAGAGGCAGGAACAGGAACCATCTTAGCGCCCGCATGGTGAGCACAGGTGGGCCGGGAAACTGCTCATGGTGGGCCTGTCTGCCGTGGTGCCAGACACTGGGGACCCGGTGTGAGGTCCTGGTGATGTCACAGAGGGCCCCGAGCTCACAGCTCCAACCATTGTGATGCGCCTTAGCCTGAGGAGGCTGAGGTTCAGGGCAAGGAGGAGCCCACCTGGCAGAACTGCCAGGGCGGAGAAACTTCTAGAATACAAGAGAGGAGGAAGCTCTCTCTCTCCTTGCTGGGATGTTCTTTCTGAGCTTGGCACACTGTTGGGAGAGGCCATCATCTATTTCTGGTTTCATTTGTTTGAGCCAGACCTTGTGGTGGGCAGCAGACACAATGTGTCCCATGGAGCTGGGTCCAGTAAGAAATAAGGTCACTCACTAGTCACAGGCTGCCGGTTAGGGGGTCGTGCTTCTTTCCTTCGGCCTGCACCAAAAACAGTGACTCATCAGCACTATGGGGACTGTCACCCAAGGGCCTGGGGCGATGGCTCAGCAGGTAAAGTGTTTGCTGTGCAAGCATAATGGCCTGAATTTAGCACCCAGAAAATTAATAAAAAGCTGGGTGGTGGTGCTGTTCGCTGCAGCTTCGGGCGATGAAACACGTGACCCACCAAACTCAACAAACAAACCCACATAGAGTCTATTGGGAAAGGGAGCGACGGGAGGGGTAGGTGTTAACCGATCAGGAGCAGAAATGGAGAGAGAACAGGCAGGCGCTTGCTTATATGGGGAAAGGGAGCGGTTCAGAACGAGGCTCAGCAGTTGGGGCCATTGAAACTGGAGTCATGGAGCTGTCGTTGGCCGAGCTCCACGTGGCCCAGGTCCTCATGGTTTCTGCATGCAGAGTCCTTATGCAGCCACCTAACGCATGCACGATGCAGCCATGCAACCTCTGACAGCCTTTGAGTTGTCAGTGAGGAGCGATCACCTGTCAAAGACAGATCCCGGGGCGAGGAAAGGTTGCACTGAGAAGAGCAATGATTAGAGGCCCGGTGACCAGGAAATGTTCCCTAAGGAGAAGCCCAAGGCCCGGGAGAGGGCTGGCAGAGTGACAGGCAGGCCCTGAGGAGAAACCACTGCAGCGGGAGATGAGTCGGGAGCAGGAACAGGTTGTCCAGGACCCGGGGAGAGAGAGAAACCAGGACACCAACAGGGGTGGTGGTGTGCATTTACAACTGTGGTGCTGGGGAGACAGCATCTGAGGAACAACACCCAAGGCTGACCTCTGGTGTCCACACGCTCACATACACACCTGTGTGAACTTGAGTGCGCGCCAGGAAGGGCCGGGCTCTTCAGTCTGGTGCAGCAGGGTTTCTCACAGACACACAGGGAAGCTGACCAGCTGGTCCTGAGCTATCCCTACAGGCTGGAGAAAGATCTCAGAACACTCGCTGTTCCGTTATCAGGGTCCCCTCAGGGGCAGGGCACTGAAGGAGCCTCAGAGCCCAGACAGAAATCTGCGGTCATTTCTGAGGCTGAGGCCCGAAGGTTCAAGGCTGAGAAATGTGAAAGTGGTTTTAAAACGTCATCAAAAAATTTAGAGGCTGTAATTAGTAAAATCTGGCTTAAGAGGACCGTTTTTTTTGTAAAGACACAAAGAGAAATGACTTTAACTGATGAGAAAGCAGTTTTGAGTTTGACACTGTTTGCTTCCTCCTGTCCTCTTTGGATAAAAACCAGAAGCCTTCGTCAAATAAAGTTAACTGTTATTAGAATTTTTCATTTGTTTTTTGAGACAGGGTTTCTCTGTATTGTTTTGGAGGCTGTCCTGGAACTTACTCTGTAGTCCAGGCTGGCCTGGAACTCAGAGATCCATCTGCCTCTGCCTCCCGAGTGCTGGGATTAAAGGCGTGCGCCACCAACACCCGGGCCTGTTATGAGAATTTAAAAAAATTATTTGATATGTATACAGTGTTCTGCCTGCATGCCAGAAGAGGGCACCAGATCTCATTACAGATGGTTGTCAGTCACCATGCAGTTGCTGGCAATTGAACTCGGGACCTTTGGAAGAGCTGTCACTGCTCTTAACCTCTGAGCCATCTCTCCAGCCCCCTGTTGTGAGAGTTTAACAGGAAAACAAAACAAAACAAAAAACCTCTCAAATAGTTCTTCACTGTACTAAAAGAATAAATAATAAATAGCTAATTCATCTTTGTTTTGCAAAAGTACACAACAAACATTCATTATTTTTTAAGACATGGTCTTACCGCAAACTTGCTAGGTAGCTGAGGATAGTTGAACTTTTTTTTTCAAGACAGGGTTTCTCTGTGTAGCCATGGCTGTCCTGGAACTCACAGAGATCCACCTGCCTCTGCTGGGATTAAAGGCGTGCAGCACCACTGCCCAGCAGTCTCGAACGTCCTGTCCATCTGCTCCCGCCTCCCAAATGCTGGGACAACAGGCGCCTGTCACACTTAGAGTATGTAGTGCTGGGGATGGAGCCAAGGGCTTTGTGTATCCCAAGCAGGCCCTCTAGCTCACGAGCCACATCCTCAGAGCTGGTTCATTGAAAACTCACACACCCCGGAGCTCCAGCACTTGGGAGGCTGAGACGGGAAGATCTTGAGTGTGAGGCAGCCATGCCTAACCCCGTCTCAAAAACAAAACCAAAGAACTCGCAAATATCTCTACAGTCTTTATTTTCGTTTCTAAGCACACAGGTCACACATCCCAGGTTCTCTCTGACAATACTCATCTCACAGCTTGTCACACTTGCCCACGTCTACACACCTGCTAACACGGCCCCAGAAGCCTCTAGTGCAAGCAGAGAACCTAGGGCAGGTGGGTAGCTGCTTGTCTCTGGGTTGTTTCCTAAGGCAAGCTCTTCCCATGTAACCCAGGACAGCTTTGACACCTCAGCGATTTCCCTGCCTCAGCCTGAGGGCTTTGATTAGACACTGCCACCATGCTTGGCTTGGGAGCAGGGACTCTAGGGTGTCTGTGTTGCACTCTTGGAGGCACGAGTGGAGGCCTGAGGTTGACACTGGGCAGCTTCTCAGTTGTACTCTATTCTAGTTACTTAGACAGGTCCTCCCGGAACTCTAAGCTCCTAAGCACCTTGCCTGGGGATTCCATCTCTGCCATACAAGGGCTAGGGCCACTGTGCTCACCTCGCCTACGATTCTGGGGGTCCAAACTCTGGTCTGCAAGTGTGCATGGTGAGTGCTTCGTCCACTGAGCGAGCCATCTGCCCAGCCCAGGAGCAGGGCTTTATGCAGCTCTACCCTGTTCCCACGAACTATCTCACACAGGTTCTATTATAGCTGTGAAGATGGAGAAGGCATCGTTCCTGTCCGCCCGTCACCTTGATGGCTGCCGTTTTCTTACCAAGATGTAAGAGGAAGAGAGAGGAGGAAGAGATGAGAGAAAGGGGCTTTATTTTATATCAGTCAGGGTCTGATTCCTCTCTGATGTCCCTGTGTCAGACAAGAACCCCACCAGGAGTAAGGGCTGACAGCTGGAAGTCTGTCCCTAAGCCCAGTGTCTGTTTCCTTGACCCATCACAATTTTAGAAAATGAGCCGACGGTGTAGTGAGGAACCCGGCGTCCTTCTGCTGCCTAAGTGAAAGCAGCGGAGTCACCAGGCTAAGCAAGAGGCACAGCGCGTGGGAAAGGCTGCCCGCCACGTGGCAAGCTGCCACCTCCTCCCTGGACCCACACCTCACAACAAGTGACCACGCAGGTCAAAGATTGCAGAGGAGAGCTTTATAGCAGTGGGCAAGCTGGCACCGGAGGCCACAGGGGAGGAGCCCTGCAGGGAGGGCGGTGCTCCTGCTTCAGAAGCAGTAGGACGTGTGGGTGACCCAGTGGGCAGACTCCTCCTTGGAGCGCTTGGCGGAGCTGTGGCTCGTGAAGATGGACTTGTACGTTTCCGACTCCTCGCTGTCTGCGATGGACCGCTTCAGGGCCGCACATGGGGCCTTCCCGGCTTTCCCAGCACCCCCACTAGCTGCTGGAAAACAAAGACAAAATCTGTAAAGCTGGAACTACAAATCACGCCCAATGTCAGATTTTTTGTTTCTGTTTTTTGAGACAGGGTTTCTCTGTGTAGTCCTGGAACTCACACTGTAGACCAGGCTGGCCTCTATTTCACAGGGATCCGCCTGCTTCTGCTTCCTTAGTGCTGGGATTAAAGGCGTGCGTCATCACCGCCCAGCCAAATGATGAATTTTTAAAGGGACCAAGTCATGCATGCCTTTTCTCCCAGCTCCCAGCATTTTGCTGCTATTTAGAAAGAAGCTGAAGTGGGGGTGGGCAGCCCAGGCCATCTTCAAACTCAATATGAAACTAAGACAGGTCTTGAATCCCGATCCCATGGCCTCCATCTCCTGAGGGCTGGGATTATGAGAATGTGCTGTCATACCACTTTATACCGTGCTGGTGACAACTCAGAGCTTTGTGCACACTCTGCAAGTGTTCTACCAACTGCGCTACATTCCCTGCCCATGATATATTAATTAAATCAAACTAATTATTTGAGACGGAGCTTCACTATGTAGCTCTGGATGACCCAGAACTTAACTATGTAGACCAGTTTGGTCTTGAAACTGGGATGATTCTCCTGACTCTGCCTCCCAAGTAGGCATGTGCTACCATGGCTGGCCCCAGACTCCCAATAGTGTCTCCTAGAAGCTAGACTGAGCCCTAACCACTTACTGCCTTGTCGAACACTGTGTGCTGGCGCCAAGCTGTGCTCGGCTTCTTAGCACTCAGGCTGAGGAACTGGTCCTCTCATGTTGACAGTGTACAAGGACAAAGAGAGTCCAGAAGCCTCAGTGGCCTGTCCTGATGGGAGGCCAGGATGGGAGCCACTGGCCAGTGTTTACGTGGGACAGAACACAATCTCACTTTCTCTTACTGACAAACCCGTGTTTAATTCTTGTAAAGTAATTGTGGTCTTAGTTGTTTTTCTTTCAGTGCTGGGCAATGATCCCAGGACCTCATACACGCTAACCGGGTTCTCTATCACTAAGCTACAGCCCCAGCTCCTTTTCTATGTCTTATTTTGATATAGGATTTTACTAAGTTGTTCAGACTGGCCTCAAACTTTTGATCTTCCTGCTTCAGCTCCTGAAGCTGGAATGACAGGCCTGTGCCACCAGACATGTGTGGAATATTCCTACACACTGTGTGAATATATGTTGCTGTGGTTGGTTCAGTGAGGAAGGTGACTGGACAGTCGCTAAATAGAATAAAATTAGGGAGAACCAAACTGAGACTGTGGGAAGGAGGGGGCAGAGGCCGGAGTCACCAGCAGAGGCAGAGGAAGCAAGATGGGCATGTTGTACTGAGGAAAGGTACCAAGTCACGTGGCAAAACACAGATAAGAAATAATTTTAATGTAAGAGTTCGCTAGTAACAAATCTGAGCTATTGGCAGATTCCAGGCTGGTTATTTGGGACTGGTGGGTGGGAAAGAAATGTCCGTCCACAGACATTATTTGGTTTTCTTTTCTCTCTCTCTCTCTCTCTCTCTCTCTGTCTCTCTCTCTCTGTCTCTCTCTCTCTGTCTCTCTCTCTCTGTCTCTTTCTGTCTCTCTCTCTCTCTCTCTCTGTGTGTGTGTGTGTTCAGAGGAGGGTGAGGAGGGTGTCAGATCTGGAGATGGAGTTATGAACGGTTGTGGACTGTTAGATATGGGTATTAGGAAAAGAAGTCTGGTCGTCCTCGAGAACAGCACTGGCTCGTAACTGCCGAGCCAACTTTCCTGCCTGTAGGACAAAGCTATCCGCCCATGAGGGCAGGGACAAGTAAATTAGCACAGGTAGATATAAAAGGATATGAAAGGAAAAGGACCCTCTCTTTCTCTTGGAAGCCAGCCATGCTTCTAACTCCTAGCTTGTGTGACTCTCTCTCTCTGGTAAATAAATATATTGTATCTCCTATAACATCGGTTATCGCAATACCTGCCCCTGCTTTTTTCTCCCTGAGATGGAGTCTAAGTACACAGCTCAGGCTGGCCTGGCACTATGGCTGGCCCTGCCTCTGCCACTGGCCTGTTGCAAATGCTATTTTCTTTTCTTTTCTTTTTTTTTTTTTTTTTTTTGGTTTTTCGAGACAGTGTTTCTCTGTATTGTTTTGGAGGCTGTCCTGGAACTCACTCTGTAGACCAGGCTGGTCTCGAACTCACAAAGATCCGCCTGTCTCTGCCTCCTGAGTGCTGGGATTAAAGGCGTGCGCCACCAATGCCCGGCAACAAATGCTATTTTCTTTGAGGTAAAGACACTGAGTTTCAAGAGCAGGCATAGAGAAAGGACATTTCTAAGATGGGAGTCTAGAAATGAGGGGAGCATAGGAAGGTTCTGGGCGCCTACAACCTCGCCCCCACACATAGTATGTCTCCATGTGGCTGCCTGCTCCGGCACCATAAGCTTGCCGGGCAGTAAGACAGAAGCGGGATTTATGTCCAGAATCTTATGGGCCATCAGGGCTCCAGGCTGGAATGTGAGCCTATGCTTTCTCAGCCCTCTGCTCTGACTTTCCAGCTTCCCCCGTTCTTTGCTGGCCAGCAAGTCTCACCTGTGCCCCTGGAAGCCAAGGTGCTTTTCTTCTCTTTAGGATCAGGCTCTGCCTCTTCAGGCCTGCCAGCCTTCACTTTTGATGGCCCTGCAGAGTCTGTAAGAGACACACAGTCAGCAAAACATACCTTGAGCCAAAGCAGAGCAAGGGCCTGGTGACTTAGGACACAGCCTCTTGTCATCTTACCGTCTGTGACGCCCGCCTTTGAAACACACTCAGCTGTCTTGGGTTTCTTTGATTTCTGTAAGAAGAAGGAGGTTGTGTTGGCCTCAATGAGAATGTCCCCCGAAGGCTCAGGTATGGAACCCCTGGTCACTCATGGGTGGTGCAGTCTGGGGTTTTTGGAACCTCAGTAAGTGGGGACACACGAGGGGGGTGGGCTTTGAGGGCGGACAGCTTCACTTCTAGTTCACTCTGCTTCTTGAGTGTGACTGGAGGTGTGAGCTCTCAGCTTCTTGCATTGCTAACATGCCTGCAGCTTGCTGCGAAGCCTCCCAGCTACGATGGACTCTGATGGGGGTGTCCTTCTGTGTGCTGTGAATATATGTTTCTTTTATTGGCTGATGAATAGAGTTGTTTTGGCCAATGGACAGGCAGGATGTGGCCAGTCAGGAAGTATAGGTGGGGCTATCAGACTGGAATTCTGGGATGGAGAATACAGAGAGTGAGTCTTGAGAAAGATGCAGGAAGGTAAGAAGTCTGGGCATTCTCTAGTAGGCCAAGACCATGTGGAGATACACAGATTAATAGAAATAAATGGATTAATAATAAAAAAAGAGCTAGCCAATAGGAAGCCTGAGCCATCAGCCAAACGGTTTATAATTAATATAAGCCTCTGTGTGTTTATTTGGGACCAAAGGGCTGCGGGACCAGGTGGGACAGAAACTGTCTACAGGACTCCCCCTCTGGAACTGTGAGCCACAATAAACTCTTCCTTCTGTAAGTTGCCTTTGGTCACGGTGTTTGAGCACAATGATAGAGAAGTAACTAATACAGTGCATATGCTCACATCGAGCAACCACAGCAGCAGTAAACCTGCTGAGGGCCCAGGGTCCTCTCTGACAGCATGACACATCTCTCTGAGGAGGACCTGTCTGCAGGCAAGCAGCTATGAGGCCCAGAAGGCCTGCCTGCTCATCAGTTTTAGCTCCATACTCTCAAAGCTTTTCAATGAAGACAACCATTTCAATGAGGAGTCAATGTCAGAGGTGGGAATGCTGCTCAGGGACAGAGCACCATGAGGGCCTGGGTCTCATCCCCAATAGCACCCCCCACACCTACACTCACACACACACCACACACACACACTCACACCACACCCACACCACACTCACACCACACCCACACACACACCACACACTCACACCACACACTCATACCACACACTCACACCCACACTCACACCACACTTACACACCCACACACCACACACTCACACCCCCACCACACCCATACTCACACACTCACACACACACCACACACACATACCACACACTCACATCACACCCCCCACGCACACATACACACACCATACACATACACACACCACACACACAAGATCAATACTTCCAGTGACCATCGTACGCAAAACAGCAGTTAAACAGTAACAAACTCTACACGCACAAACATACACAGACTCACTCTCATTCACTCTGAACTCAGTTTCCAAGCTGTCAAACTGTGATGTTTGTTTATGAGGTTTGGGGGCACACCTGAGGAATGGTGGGTGATTTAAACTCTACAGATTACTCTCCTTAGATTTGTAGGTGTTGGATCAGTATGATAGTTACTGGTCAGTCCCCAAAAGGCGGACTGTTCTGAAATTACATTCAATTGCACAAATGATCAAAAGGACTGTTCACAACTTTCTTTAAAATGTCATTGCCATAAAACCCCAAAAAGGGGCACCAAAGAGACACAGCCCAGCCAGGCAGCACACCTGGTCTTAGCATGGGGAGGTGGAGAAAAGAGAATAATGCATTTAAGACCAGCAAGTCTGAGAAACAAAATAATGATTTTGGAAGGCCCTCATCTCTTACAAGCACTGAACAAAAGATCTCTTTTGGTGGTGGCTTTCAATGTGTGACACACACACAATGTAATTTAAGCTAAGAAACTGTTTCCCACATGGAATGCACACATGCAGATCTGTGAAGGAGGTGTCTCAGTGCAGGAGCACCCACCGCAGAAAGCTGTGCGTGGCTGTGAGCCAGCACTGGCAAGCAGAAATGGTGGCCTTCTGGCTTAGTGAGACATGCTGTCTCAAGGAAACAGAGCAGAGAGTGACGGAGGGAGTCATCGGACACTGTGCTCCTGCTTCCGAGTGTGAGCACACACTAAGTGTCCACATATCCCAACCACACGAAACAGGCAGACACCCAGTTCTTAGCCCTCCATTACAGCTGAGCAGTTTCAAGGCTGGAGGCATGCAGAGGCACTAAGCGCTGCCTGCAGGTAAGGATATTTGGGAAATATTTTGTATCTTGGTAGCAGTATCTAAGCACATTCCAAGCCTCTGCTGAGGAGGCTGCAGAGGGGATCTAGTCCCACAGGGTCCTGCAGGACTTGGCAGGGAGCCGGTGATGCGACAGTCACTCAGGGAGAACTCCGGGCTCCGAGCAGCGCCCTAGCTGCTGCTCGTAACACACAATGCCCCTCTTTGCGTAAAAACAACAACAAAAAACCAAAACCTGACCAAGGACAGCAAACATGAGCAAGCATGCCCTTTGGTTGCTGTCTCTTATTAAGAAGACACTCCAGGCTTTTCTATGCTCTTATGATGCTAAGTGCAGAGTAATTTAGAAAAAAGTAATTTACTAAATTAAAAAAATTAGTAATTTAGAATTTACATACACACACACACACACAGACACATGACACACATACAGATGTTTGCATTTTCTAACCTCCATACACAGCTTAAATGACCCAGTGACCTCCAGTATTTCTGAGGAATGCTGTTACCATCTTGTAAACAGTTCCACAGAGTGTTCCTGTGGCATCTAATTCAGAGTTGCCCACAATTCCTAGTGTTACGGAACACCACATGCTCCATTTTCTAAGACGGTAAAGGAGGAAATGGGAGTGGATTTGGCTTCTTCCGAGTCTAGATTCCATGTGTGACCAGCAGGGTTCTGAGCCTCACAACCCTGAAGTACGGTCACGCGTGGGTCATCTGGGGCTGCCATTGTCTCCTCGGGCACAGGGCTGCAGTGATGGAAGGGGCTTCAGAGCTTTGCTTGTGTATTTTAGCCATAGGAGAAAGACAGAGTCACATGACCTACAGGTGATCCTGCGTCTCTGCTGTGAGGCTTAGAAGGCTGATGGTCACATGAGCCCCAGTGAATACCACTGCTTTGTATGCCAACTTAAAAAAATTGAGCACCTACTCCCCCAAGCCTGCTGGACCACACTGCAGGTGGCTGAGGATGTGGGACCTTCAGATTTGCTGGGATGATGGTGACTTCCACTCTTGTCTTTACAGTTATGAAAATGGAGTATGAGTTTTATTTCTTTTCCTGTACTGGGGAATCTAGGGCTTCAGGCAAGACAGCCACACAACACTCCCCTGCAGCAGAGTAGCTTGCACGGCCCTGGAAGCTCCCTCACCCCCATTACCTTCTCCAGCTTGGCCCGAAGCCGCCTCTCTTCCATCCTCCTCTTCAGCAACTCCACGTCCTCCTTGGTGCCGTTGAGCACAATGATGTCATCCTCCTGGAAGGCAGCCCCACACTGGAGGGCAAAAGGAAGGTCAGTTACCACGAGAGGGGAGGAACGGAGGACGCTGCTCTTCACTCGGGGCTGGTCTTCAGCCCTTGCTAGGCTCTGGCTGCATCTCTGCCAGCATCTCAGGTCAGCTCAGCTGCTCTCGGCCCTGGCCTGGGAGGTCCACGTGCCGGCCGAGAGCAGCATAGCCTGGCTCTCCCCCCTGCCCCCCAGGGTACCAACACAGGTCAGTGACAGGGTGGTTCATGGCATCTGACTCACACACTGGTCCCTGCTGGGCATCCGTAACGGCCTGGGCATGGGAACACTTGCGGTCGCTGCGCTGTGTTGTTGGGGGTGGTGGTCGCTGTGAACCCACTCACCCTTCCCCACCACACTGCTGTGTACCAGCAGCACGCCTTGGCTATGGGCTCTAGTCGAGAGTACAGGTGTCTGCTAACTTCCACAGTCTTTCCAGAAAATTCCAAGTATAAGGGTTAACTCTTAATCCCAGGACTTGGCAGGCAGAGGCAGGCAGATCTCTGTGAGTTCGAGGCCAGCCTGGTCTACAGAGCGAATTCCAGGACAGCCTCTAAAATGACACAGGGTTGACTCTGGACAAGACGGAGCCGTGTCAGTATCCCAATGGTGTCCCGGAGGCAGGAACACACTTGTTAGTGTCCACACTCAGCGCTGCCAGTTGCACGCATGCCCACATTCACAGAACTGTAACCAAGCAAGCTGGCCCCTCACAGAGGCCCCACACCAGTCTCCTGTGAATGAGGCCCTAGGCACGGGCACATGCCAGGAAGACGGGCAGCATCAGAGAGCAAGGCTCCCCTACGTGAGTCCAGGCTTCTCCAGTGTCTCCACGTCCCTCAGGCCTCCTCGAGGGTGGGGGTCTAATCCCAGGGCAGAGACCCTCTGGTGGCTGCTCTGTTCCCCAGGAACACCACAGTCTAGAGGCACTCTGGCTGTCACATCTGGGAAGAGATGTCATTGTCATCTTGTGTAATAAAGCTAGTAAACAGGGTCCTGTCCTTTGACATCGCCCAAGGCCTCCGTCACTTCCCAGCACACAGGACAGAGGTGAGAGTGCCGGCCTCAGGCTCCTGCATCCCACCAGGACTGCAGAGTGCCTCACTTCAAATCCACCTTTCAGGCTGGGGTCTGTCCCTTCACAGGGTTTCCCTGAGGACTGGTTGCTTTGACTCACAGAGCCCTGAGCTTGGCACCCTCCGGGACCTGAGGGAGGGAGGTACCCACCCAAGTGGAGGGCTGTTCTCAGCCACAGTGACAGGCAGGGAGCTGGAGAGGAACAGCTCTGGGCAGGTGGCCCCATGGGAAGTCCTGGGCCAGGGGATACTTGGGTAGAGAATGTCTCCATGGGGGAGGGGGGCTTTTCCTTGGAAGGGGATGGAGAGGGATGTTTCTGGAACTGAGTGAGGTGGGAAGGAAGGCCCAAGAGGCATGGAGAAGAGGCATGGAGGCACACTCTGGCGTAAACAACCCTCCTGAGGGCAGCGCAGAGCGCAGGAGGACCACGCCTCCTGCTGGGATTTCAGCCAGTTTCTTTCCAGAGGCACCCCACTTCCCTGCTTCTCATTTTTGTTTTTAACACCAGACGAGAGGCTGCCAAAGTAGTTTACAATAGACAAGCCTGGCACAAAAACTTGTCGAGTAAAAAAAGACTGAACTCAAATTCAGGATGGAATTTGAAGTCAAGGAATAAGACCGCCATGCCTTAGAGTTTCTATTGCAGGGTAAACAACACGGCCCAGAGCAACTTGTGAGCAAAGGGGTTATTCCCTTACAACACTCAGGTCCCACTCCACCCCAGGGACGTTAGGGCAGGACCCTGCAGACAGGGAAGACACCCAACCTTTCTTCTACATCCAGGACCACCTGCCCAGAGGGGACACCACCTTGCCTCCGGTCTTACAGAGACATCTTCTCAACTGAGGTATCCTCCTCTGGGGTGACTCTAGGCTTGGGTCAGGGTGACATAACCCAGTCAGCACAGGTGACTTAGTATCTCGACCACCAGATCCCAGAATCGAGCAGGAGTGAATGTCACCACCAGGGGTTGGGGCTCCGCTCTGCTGACCACTCTGCATTCAGGATGTGTGTGGAGAAAAGGAGCCCAGAACTGTAAGGCCGAGCCTTAAAACCTGTGTGGTTTTCCTCTCTGAAACGGTCTCACTGAGTAGGTCTGTCTAGCCTTGAACTCTGTGTGGACCAGGCTTCGTCTCAAATTTGTGGCTATCCTCCTGAGAACTCGGGGTGACCTTCCTCGCCCATCCCTGAACCCCTGCTCGTTCTTCTATAGGGCTGGCAGCAACACCCTTTGGACAGATCATGGCCGCGGCCAGATTCTGAACACACACACCGACTGTTAGGGATGTGGGTGGAGAAACAGTTTGGTGGTTAAGGGCGCTCACTGTTCCTGCTAAAGACCCAGGTTCAGTCCCCAGCACCCACATGGTGGCGCATCACCTGTGACTCCGATTGCAGGGGATCTGGTACTCTCTTCTGACCTTGTAGGCGCCGGCATGCAAACTGTACACATAAACTCAGGCAGGCTCACACTCGCATGAGTAATAAACCTTTTTCTAGAAAATGAGCTCTCTTAAGCCTATAATCCCAGTGCTAAGGAGACAGAGGCAGAACCACCATGAGTTCATGGCCAGTCTGGGCCATTAGGAGAGTTTCAGGCCAATATAGACACAGCAAAAACTGCCTCAAAATAAAAAACAAAATGAAGCACCCTCTCCTTCTTAAAAAAAAAATCAAAAGACCATTAACACTCAGTGACATTAGCTGCTTGGCCCTAAACTAAGTAGGACTGTCCCTCAAGATACGTAGGTCTCCTCCAGGCCATATGACCACATGACCACTCTGGTCACATGACCTTCAGATGAGGGGGAACGATTCCTCGTAAGGGTCAAGTAAGACAAACCGAGTTAACAGCCAGTCAAAGCAGCGGCCAGCTCTTCCCTAGGGAGGGCGATCTAGGGACAACTTTGGTGGCAAGGGGGGCGTGGCTGATGCAGAGATGGTTCCTGGGGACTGGTCCACATTTTGTCATTCACACCTTTTTTCCTCCTTTCCTTTCATCCTGAGACAGGCTCTCATCTAGCCCAGGTTAGGTGAGAACTACACAATTTAAGCTGGCCTGGAACTCACAGTAATTCTCCTGCCTCAGCCTTCCAAGTGCTGGAATGATAAGGTGAGAACTACCAAGCTCGGGCTAGCCTCCACCTTAGGTCATGTGCACCATGTCTGGCTGCTCTTTCAAGATCCCTGCTATACGACGTGGAGTCTCAACGATGGAATCTGAGGCTTCCACACGGGCACGAGCCGTCCTTCCTCCTCAACGGCCTCAAGTTCACGGAGACACTGCTAGCTGCCCTACCAAGACCTCTTTCTACAGCAGCTGTGACACCAAACACTTGTGCCTCAGGGTCGCTCCACCACCCACCCTGCCATCTGTCTTAGGAATCTGGGAACACAGGTGGGGACAAATCTCCCTTCTGCTCTGTTCTGAGGCTGGTGGAACCCCACGCCTGATGCAAACCAGATGAACACGACCACCGAGTCACACCCCCAGGTATGCATGCCGTGTGACCTGATCCCTGCCACTTCTCTCCTGGAAACAGGTCAGGCAGTGAGAGGGCTCAGCAGGTAAGGACACTTGCGGCCAAGCCCCATGGCCTGAGCACAATCCCTGCAACCCCACAGTCCCTGGAACCCCACAGTCCCTGGGACCCCACAATCCCTGGAACCCCACAATCCCTGCAACCCCACAATCCCTGCAACCCCACAATCCCTGCAACCCCACCGTGGGAGGAGAACCGACCTCTGCATGCTGTGCTCTGACTTCCACTCGTGCTCAGTGGCCCGTGTGTACACGCCCCCCAATAATAATAAGTTAATGAATGAATGTGAAAAACTAGATCTATCCATGGTAAACCTAAATACAGACAAGTCTCAGAAAAATTAGCCTCCTGTTTTAAAGAGAATATTTTGTTGTTTTGTTTTTGAGATAGGGTCTCACTATGCAGCCTTGGCTGGCCTAGAGTTCACTATGTAGACTAGGCTAACTGGGAACTCAGAGGTCTGCCTGCCTCAGTCAGAATGCTGGGATTAAAGCATGTGCTATCACGCCTGGCTTTGAAGAGCATTTTAGCTTCCTGCACCCGTGGGTTGAACGATCGCTCCGGCGTCAAGTGTGATGCTCAGAGCGAGGGCCGCTGCTCTCTAGTACAGAGGCTGCACACTCTCATTTGGGCTGAGGCTCTGCCAGTACCTTGTATTGCTTTTTATGACGGCCTCCCCGCCTCCAGGCAGGTGTACAGTCCTGGATAATTCTCAGGGATCAGACACAGCAGCTATCTTTTCTACCAGCGTGTCAGAGTCAACAAGAACACAAGTCCCTAGGGACGCAAAGGCAGCCCAGCCTGCCAGGCAACTCTGAGAAGCAGGAGCCACAGCCATCGCAGTCAGTCGGAGCGGAGGTGGCTGAGCCAGCAGCTGCCCAGGTTCCGTCTGGAAACAGGAACCGCGTCTGGTGAGTGTGTCCCTGACAGTGTGGGGAGGGCCACGGGCAGCAGGGCAAGCAGGTGTAAGTTCTGAGGGAGCAGGGCGAGCAGGTGTAAGCTCTGAGGCAGCAGGGCAAGCAGGTGTAAGTTCTGAGGGAGCAGGGCAAACAGGTGTAAGCTCTGAGGCAGCAGGGCAAGCAGGTGTAAGCTCTGAGGCAGCAGGGCAAGCAGGTGTAAGCTCTGAGGCAGCAGGGCAAGCAGGTGTAAGCTCTGAGGCAGCAGGGCAAGCAGGTGTAAGCTCTGAGGCAGCAGGGCTTTCTCGGCCGCCCATGACCGCAAACTCACTCTCAGTGATGGACGTCAGGCGGCATCACTTCCCCTCAAAACAGCCCCATGGTTTCTGGCTGTAAGCCAAAGAAAACCACGGTGGACTATTTCCACAGCAAGCATCAGGTGTTAAAGAGCCACCATGCATTAACCCTGACCTAGTTAAGTCCCCCTGGAGGCCATGGCCAAAGTCTCAGTTTCTTATTGGTGGCAGAACTGAAAATGAACTGGTAGCTAGGCTTGTTCTGAGAGGACACCCCAACAAGAACACGCCTCTGCAGACACATGGCTGAACCGGTACACAGGGCTTAGGCATGAGCACATTGTGAACTCAACAACCATCTTATTGGACGGTTGGATAGCTTGTGGGTTCAAATCAACCCAACTAACACCATGTGACTAGCTGTTTAAAAAAACTGACGTTCAGGGTGCTGTGGACACTGTCCTGAGCCCAGGGATGACAAAGAAGACAGAGGAGAGTCTGCTCTGCTCTGCCACAGGGACCTGAGTCACCATGCCCAGAAAGCAGCTCTGAGGGAACTCTGTCACCCCGGGTCTGAGGCTAACTAAGCACCAGGCTGGCAAGCACCCCAGTCCACGGAGGAGAAGGGACTGAGGAGGTCTTGTGGTTCAGCTAGCTTGGCTCCCAGTGCCTCCTCAGCCTTCAGGCTGAGCTCCAGGCTCTCAGTGTGAGACATGAAACAGGGAGCACGAGTGACAATAAGGGACTTCAAAGGAGGACGGCGCAGCACGCGGACAGACCGCTACACAGAAACGGAGGACAGGCTTGTGCTGCAAGAGCGGCTGGCTGGGCAGTGCATCTGAACAATGACAGTCACACCCCAGTGTCAGCTGGGCTGAGGACGGGGGAAGGAGGACAGGAAAACCTAGCCTGCGCTCCTTCACCTATAACGAGCAGAAAACCACTTAGGCTAGGAGTACGCTGAAGGACCCCGGGCCATCCCTTCTTCCAGGCAAAAGCTATGACACCGGGAGGGGCTCACCAAGCCATGGTGCACTGTGTACCTTGTTAAGATCCCCACACTTTACTGGGTGTGGTGACACGCCCTCAATCCCAGCATAGATCTCTGTGAGTCTGAGGCCAGACTGATCTACACAGTGAGTTCCAGGACAGTCAGGGTTACATGGTGAGATTATGACTCAAAAAATCAAACCAAACTGAAAAATAAGTGAAAGCCTAAAATGACAAAACAAAGAATCTGAGTGTTGAGAGGCTTGCCCTGCGTCTCCTTCAGCAAGGGCCTCCTTCCTGGTGGATTTCTATGCTGGGGCTGGTGCTGGTTATTTTGGGGACCAGACGTGAAGAAGAGTCACCAGAGTGCCATGCGTATGAAGTGCGTGCTTTATAAACTCTTGCTAAGGACACCCTAAGGTTTGAGGCTTGTGGCAGTCAACAAATGTTGACTGAATCTGCGACCCAACTCCCAGGGCAGCGGCCGCTTTGTATGTCAAAGCGTGTTAGGCAGTAAGAAACTACAATAACAATGTGGTATTTGAATGCTCACAACCGATAGCGCTCAAGGCTCAGAAACCTGAGAACCCAAGAGTAGCTCAACACTGCTGTCTGCCCCCAAGTCACAGCCATGGAGAAGAGCTGTGTGAGTCCATTTGCCGTGAGTGAGAGCATGGCTTTCGTGGCACTCACAAACCAGGATTCACAAACAGCAAGACCCTGACATTCGGCCTGGACAGCTTTCCTCTCTAAAGGCACGCAGGAGGAGCAGGACAGACACGGTGTGCAGCAGTCCTCCATTAATGCGCTCAGTACTGCCAGCTACAGCTCTCAAGCGCCCACTGTGGTTCCAGACAGGTCACCATGTTGGCATTGTTACCCACCTTGTTTCAACAGGCTTAGTTTTGTAACCACAAACTCTCTTTCAAGTTATCCTTCAAATCATTTACGTTAAGATTCAGACTAGATGGAACGGGAAAAGACATAAATACAGGAGAGTAACTCATGAGTGTGTGCTCAGCAGTGACAGTCATCAGGGACACACAGTGAAGCCAGGGGAATTGCCCCTTGCAAGCCAATTAGGATGGTTACCATGGAAATGGAGTGCCGGCAACGTGCAATGTAGGGAACTCTCCTACCTGCTGCTGTCCTGACCTGACAACGCGTGAGATGGCCATTTCACTACCCCACATCCACCTGAGACAGACCCAAGCGTCTGTCCACACAAACCCTTGTGCACCATGCTTACAGCATCTTTGTAATAATGACAAGTTGAAAGCCTTAAGAGTCCATCAACAGCTGAACACAGATGCGAACAACCATAGGAGGATCGCTCAGATAGAAGAACTAACAAGGCTGCCACGAGGAGGCTGACTCTCAGATTCCTATCCTCACTAGGAAAAGCCACCGCTCACCGAGACTCCTGTTACATCACATTACAGAACCGCGGAAAGGGCTGCTGCAGGATGGGCTAGAAAGACAGATGGGTTTCCGGGGGCATGAGGGAACTCAGGGGTCAAAGTTGCCCTGACCTGGTGACAGTTTCAGAGAGCATACCCATAAACACAGTCGATTACATCCAGTGTGCTGCATGCACCTGCAGGTCGGTAACTTGGGAGCCCGAGGCAGGGGGACTGCTTAAATCCCTGAGTTCAAGGCCAGCTTGGACAACATAGCAAACCCCTCTCAAAAAGACTGAAAGAAAGAACCCAATAAAGCAGGAACTATTCAAACGGCATTTTCCCATCTGTCCATCGACCTATGTAGCCATCCACTGATTGTTTGAACTCGACGTGCAGCCAAGGATGACCTGCAACGTCTGCTCTTCCTGCCCCTGCTCCCAGTGCAGAGGGAACAGACTTGCAACACCACACCTGGCCTGGCTCATGGAGGGCTGGGGATGGAGCCCAGGGTCTCGTGCATGCCAGGCAGACCCTCTACCAACTGAGCAGCAGTATCCACAGCCTGAGTGGTGTTAATGTGCGTCAGGAGGGTTGGGCGGTGTGTGTGTGTGTGCATGGCGTGTAGTGTGTGATGTGTGTATATGGTGTGTAGTGTGTGTGTGTGTGTGTGTGTGTGTAGGTTACCGTAAGTAGTGTGTATGTTTGTGTGTATGGTGTGTGGTGTGTGTGCATGGCGTGTAGTGTGTGATGTGTGTATATGGTGTGTAGTGTGTGTGTGTGTGTGTGTGTGTGTAGGTTACCGTAAGTAGTGTGTATGTTTGTGTGTATGGTGTGTGGTGTGTGTGCATGGTATGTAGTGTGTGATGTGTGTATATGGTGTGTAGTATGTGTGTGTGTGTATGCGCGTGCGTCTGTAGGCTATCCAACTCTCTAAATGTCCTCTGCCGTTCCTTCAGGAAGCTAAGGAACCATTTCAAGTTATGGTGGTGAGGAGACACTGAGAGCCGGAAGCATGAGCCAGCTCCGGACCACAAGGGCGGGACTTGTGGCGTGTGGAGTGATCTGCACCTTCATCTTTCTTTACTTACGGAACCCAGGTCCCGAAGAGGCTGAGGAGGAGCCCACCCACCTGGCTGTGGTGGAATGTGGCTTCTACCCGGATGAACTGTGCTCAGCTTTATTAGAAGGGAAAAAGGCAGCCCCCCAAATCGCACAATTCTGCAAACACCCTCACAATTCTGAAATACTGGCTCATTTGCACACACCCCGAAACTGTTCCAGGATGACCCGGGAGCTGCATTTCATAACCAGACCCCTGTCTGCAGAAGAGGGGAACTTCCCTTTGGCGTATGTCATAAGCGCTCATAAAGAACTGGCCATGTTCGTGCGGCTTCTCAGAGCAATTTACACACCTCAGAATGTCTACTGTGTCCACGTTGATGAAACGGCCCCAAAGAAGTTTAAGAGTGCCATGCATACCTTCGTCACCTGTTTTGAAAACGTGTTTATTTCATCAAAGACACAGAAGGCGGTTCATGATGGCCCTAAGAGGCTGCAGGCAGAGATTAACTGCCTGAGAGACCTCGTCCACTCCGCACTGGAGTGGCGCTACGTCATGAATCTCTACGGACAGGAATTCCCAATCAAAACCAACAAAGAAATCATCCACTACATCAGAACCAAGTGGAAGGGAAAAAAACATCACTCCTGTGGTGATCCCACCCCCAAACACTAAACCCAAGACAGGTCAGAGCCCCCCTGAGCCCAGTCCTGAAGAAAATACCTACATAACTCCAAGTACAAGGTTCAAACAAAAACCACCCCATAACCTAACAGTTTACTCTGGAAGCTCTTATTATGCACTTACGAGAAAGTTTGTAGGGTTTGTCTTGACTGATCCCCGTGCAAAAGACATGCTGCAGTGGTCCAAAGATGTCCACAGCCCAGAGCACCACTACTGGGTGACCCTGAACCGACTGAAAGGTAGGATCACTTGGCAGTGTGGGTGCCGCCTGGGGAAGAAACAGGGGGGGGGGCGGGCTCTTTCCTGCTGTGGCTTCGTACAGGGCCTGCATCTCAGAAGGCCTGCCACCTGGAGAACGTGGTGGCCTCTGGTTCTAGGGATGTGGAGTTAGGGAGACAGTCTTGTCATGTTCCCACCCAACATAGACACCTTAGGCTCATTCTGTGTCTCCTCCAATAGAACCTTTGGGAGAGCCTGGGCATAAATGCTTGGAAAAATGTGCATTTTTTTCATTCACTTGGTAATGTTATTGGATCGTCAGTCACTACAGCCTAGCAGTGCACTAAGGGCTCACATCTGTCAGTCACGGTTCTTGGGAGGCTGAGGCAGGGGGGCTGCTGTACAATACAGCCTGGGGTACAGAGTGAGTTCCTGACTAGAAAATAGAAAAACAAACAAAAACACCCCCAAATACGAAAACTAATGTCTGTGGCAAGCCCACCACTTCTAAGGGAACTGTGGTGCCACCCTTTAAGTGGGCTTATCAAGTCATCTTGAGAAAGACTGGCTGGTTCCTGTAAGAGTGCTGCTTCAAGCCTGGTCGCCAATGTCCACCAACAGGTAATACTCTTGGTAAACAAGGACCATTCTATGACCTCTCAAACTCACTGCAAGCCCTGTTCCAGGCTGCTGGAGGGAGACGTGGTCCTGAGGGCACTCTACACACACCCAGTGAGTTTTGGAAGGTGCAGCGCAGGGCGGGGTGGACACTGATGGGCACTTCACAGGCTTTGCTCCCAGTGACCTCGTCTCAGGAAGGGCAATGGCAGGGCAGAGCTGGCATCACAACAGCCACAGCTGCACTCTGCAGGGCGCCCTGATTCTGTCTCCCCCTCAGATGCTCCGGGTGCCACACTGGATGCTGCATGGGAAGGAAATATTCGAGCCACCAAACGGAGAACGGAGGAAGGAGACGGCCACAAGGGGTGTACAGGTAAAGAATCAGACAGCAGCCTGCCTCTGCGTGGGGAGTGCTGGGATTAAAGATGGGCGCCACCATGTCTGCCTCACGCAGGGCACAGAGCACCCAAGCAGCAGATCTCGCTGCAAAGGTGCCTTTCCGGTTTGCTCTGGTAGCTTCTCCCTCTCTCTGGTGTCCCAGAGGTTTGAGTCACAGAGAGATCATGGTCCCATAAAACATCTGGAGGGACCTGGCTGATGGCAAACCAGTCTGGGGCAAACACTTGGGGCGTGGGAAGCTGTGGCCATCTTGGAGGGTAAGGTCCAGCTCCGTCACCCTGGGACAGCTCTGAGGGAGTCATCGTTTCACCGCACAATGCCAATGGGTGAGGAGACAATGCTGCGGAGTCCACGGGGGCGGGGGCGGGGATGGGGGGTGCAGGCCACACAGGCTGACTGTAGCGGGGTTGAAGCACAGAGCAGCATCCCTTTTGGGAGCTGCCATTTGTCTGCAAGCAGCTTCCTAACCACAGCACCAGTTCCACACAAAGACATCATCCCACTAAACTGCACTTGGGTACGAGGTAAACCAGACATGCAAAATAAGCCAAGTTTCCCGATTCCCCATCTATTTAAAAGACTGACCTAAAATAAACAGGCTGTAGGGTGGGGTGATGTCAACTCTGATGCCAGCACAGCTAAGAGAGGAGTAACAGCTGTCCTGCCAGTGCCAGGGCAGAGCACCGGGCAAGTGTTGCTCAGAGGGTAGGGTGGGGTAGGGAGACAGACTCTCACTATGTAGGCCAGGCTAGCCAGGAGCTCAGAGATCTGCCTGTCTCTACCTCCTGGGCTTAAAGGAATATCCCGTCACGTGTGGTTAGAACATTTTTGTTTTGTTTTTAAGGCAGACAATGCAGTTCAGTAGGGAGCTACAGTGACAGCTAAAACAGCATCTCTCTCTCGAACGCGCGTACACACGCATCCTACTGAGCTACACCATTAGACCCTTGTTCATCTTTTTCTTTGGAAACACGGTTGTGCTATGCAGCTAGGCTGGCCTTTTAAACTCATGGCAATCCTCCTGCCTCAGCCTCTCAAGTGCTGCAATTACAGGTGTGAGAGGCCACTTTCTGCACAGCTTTCAGATTCTGATTCCATGTCCTTCCAGGCTTCTCCTTGGCTGTGGGCCGCTCATAGACAATCATCAACTCTCACTTTATTGGTTCTGAGTAAACCTTGCTACAAGTGTAAGCAAATAAAATAGGAATTGGGTCCAGGGCTCATTAGTCCCAACTCATGGCAATCCTCCTGCCTCAGCTGCCTAAGTGTTGCAATTTACAGGCAGGAGCCTCCATGCTTAGTTCAGCAGCACTATTTAGTGGCTCTTGCCATTTAGAATGTTCCCCAAATACCAGACCAAAGGTGAAATTCCCTTCATTATAAATTCAAATTCCGAGCTTAGAGCAGCCCACAGTCGGGGGATGCTGCTGCTTCTGAACTTTGCACTGGAGCTCTCCGGCTGACTCTTAAGTGTGCCCCACTTCCTCATACTGGATTGAACTGGTGGGGAAATGAGCAGTTAAATTTGTCTCTTTCTGCAGGCCACGGTGCCCAAGACACCTGTGTCTACGATCTGGGAGACCTGCCTTGGCTCATCCAATCGCCGGCTTTGTTTGCCACGTTTGAGCCGTCCACAGACCCCCTGGTGGTGTCATGCCTAGAGCGGTGGCACAGACTCAAAGCCCTGCAGCAGGCTCAGGTCCCCGCAGAGCCACACTGGCAACTTCCCCAGGAAAGTCACTTCCACAGCCAACCCCTCCACTAAGGGACACTTTTTGTTAGCGTCACTGTTTCAATTCCTGGATGCGAATTAGTTCAAAAATGAACGCAGAAACAGGCTCCTGGCCAGACTCCACTACTGAGCACAGGCAGGAAGTGACCAGAGGAAACGCCCGAGGCTGCGGCTGGGAAGTGCAGACCAACACCTGGAAGGCTGAGCGCCTCGGTGAGCAGTTGCTGAAGGCTGACTTTCTCTGCCCAAAGAATCCAAACCAGTGGGTCTTGTTCTGAGGGCCTGGAGAGCCTGTGCACGAGGCATGGACACAGAACAAAGCCCACCCACAGGAAACCATGCTTCTCTAGAGCTATCGCTGTGGGCTAAGAACAGCACAATTCTGTTCTAGAAAATTATAGAGAAATATCCAGTGGTGGTGGGGGAGCCCTCCTTCTCTGGGTAAAATGAATTCCTGAATTATCCCACAGAGGGAAGCGGCTTAAAAGGGCTGCATGCAGCTTGTGTAGTCTTGGTCTGCTCGTTCTTCCTGCCATGGTGGACGACAGCTCACAACGGCACTAACCAAAGCCGCACCACAGGGGCTTCTGCACAGGAGAGTGTGGAGAGATGCAGGAGGAGGGGGTCCCTCCTGATTTTTAATTAGTCTTCAGGTCAGTTAGTTCCCAGCACCCTGAGTCACAGATGCAGGTCCTTCCCCCAGTGCCCGACTCTTCTGCTGTCATGGTTATGGGAAACTTTTATATATATTCTTTCTCTAACAATGTCCTTGGTGGCATAAAGACTGACACGCTCAACTATTTTATGTGTATGCATGTTTAGTCTGCATGTATGTACGTGTACAACATGTCCACGGAAGTCAGCAGGTGCTGGCTCTCCAGGAAGTGGAGTTACACAGCAAATGGTTGCCAGACAGCATGTGGTGCAGGGAACTGAACTCAGGTCCTCTGCAAGAACAACCGGTGCATTTAACCCGAGCCTTCTCTCCAGTCTGGACGCACTTTAAAGCAGGAGTCCCAGAAAGGAAACTAACACACACCGTAAAGACCAAACGCCAGGACCCCAGTCCCCTGAGGCTCCTCACACAGAGATGAGGTCACACCCAGTGATGTGACCTGGAAAGCTGGGCAGAGTGAGGACATCTTAAAGGTAGATACCACAAATCAACTTTAAGCAAAATATGTAAGGTTAAAGCAGTCTGCTTAGGCAAACATTTTTCCTTACTGTACACTGAAAATGTTAAGACATCCATGACCTCTTACGTAGCAATGTGTTTCTTATTATGAGACATGAAGCATCCAATAGGAATACAACTGCTATTCTGGCTAGTCATCTGGTTATGGGATAACCCTCTCTGGGTGCTGTTCTCTGAAGGCAAAGTGCACACCAAGGTAATGCAATTGCATAAGTAACTCCAAAGTGAGTTGCAGCCATGAGTGTAGGAATTATTTTAGCATTACTGCGTACAGTGTGTGTGCGTCACAGCCACTTGTGGAGACAAAAAGACAAGTCTCAGGGCAGCCCCAGGCTGACGAGCAGAGACCAAGCTGCCTTCCTGCCACGGAAGCCCTTGTCCTTAGGTTAGTGATTTACACATTTTAGACAGTGCCTAAACTCACAGTCTTGACCTTGTGGCTTTATCTCCCTTCACTCATCACTACACCTGTCACCGAGGACGCTGTGCCAGCTCTCACCGCACAGATTCCTGCAGAAAGGGCTGGCACATGCAGTCTTCTGTACACCCAGCAAGGTCCTTTGCCCAGGCTCCTTGAAGTGAGGGGTGGTCATGCGGCTGGGTTCTGACCAGCGGAGTGTGAGACGCTCCAGGTACAATTTGCAGGTCTGATCCATAAAACCTTCCCACAGAGACGCTCGCTCTCCTTCCCAACAAGTCAAGGAAGGGTGGGTGGGAAGACACTGCCCAGCCGGGATTCTCCGCTGGGACCTAAGGAAGGTTCCCATGGCCAGCCAACCTTCTACCAATCAATGTACTCCTTACCAAACTGGAGCAACTTCACACTTGGAGTTTGATCCCTGATACACCTCTATTTCTTGTCTTACTTAAAATCTTCTTGTTTAGAATGTCTGGATCTCAAAGGGAAGAGTCTGAGTCCTTACGATCCCTTCACTTTACATACTGGACTCGGGCCCAGAGAGATGCTATTTTCCCAGACCAAAATGATCTGTGCCAGGCTCTCCACACTGACGCCACAGGGATGCGTTCCTCAAGTTTCCTGGCTTGGAAAATCAGGTCCCAATATGTCAGTGCTGGCAGGCAGGGCCTGGTGGCAGACGTCTGAATCAGAGTCAAATGAAGTAACTAATACTAATGTCACGGGTATGTGTTCCTTACCCCACACTGGAGCATAACCATGCTTCAGACAGAGGATCTGAGAGTGTCAGTGAAGGAGAGATGCTGGCTGAGAAGCACTGAGGGGAAGGGGCGCTCCAGACAGCGGACTCCTGGCAGCCAGAAAGGACCTGTGCTGATATCTGATACTCGTGGACATTTGGACCCACGCTTGCCCATGTCGCTCCACCCCCCCCCCCCCCTCACCGTCATGCACACACCCAGGTTAACACCCCCCCACATTAAGACACGCAATACTGTGCCCTTGCGGGGCACTGGCACCTTGCCTGGGCTTCTGAGCCTCTAGAACGCGAGTGAATTCTATTCTTTATGAAGAGCCGGGTCTCAGCAGTCGGGTTCTGCAGCACTAGGCAGAGGAGGATGGGAGGGGATGAATGAGATTCCCGCCATGCCGTGTATCGTGCCTGTGCAGTGCTCTGTGATGCTCTACCTCTACAGTCTTGCAGATTAAACTGGGGCCACCCCGCCCTTGAAGTCCAAGCTGGAAGCACATGGCATGCCTTCTCTGGACCCTGGCATTCAGATCTCACTTCCCTCACAGCACCTGAATCACCACCAACCGGAGACTCCTACACGCCACCAGCTGCATTACGCAGTTAACTCCCAAGGAATACTTTTAAAAAGACAGCCTAATGTAACATTTGTGCATGAGTCAGCCACAGTCAGCACCCCTGGCTTCATCCCTGTCTGCTTCAGGAGTGCTGCAGAGGAGTCACTCAGGGCTCTTTTGAGGAACTTCTTTTGTGGAATGTGTACTTTAATCCCAAGGACATCTGGACCCACTTCAAGCTGGCTTTCTGCCGTCTTAGACTAAAATCCACGAACACTTCGGTGGCCACCCCAGCCCTGTGTGAGGTAACTCCTCATACACCTCCTGTCCTTTCCCCGGCCACACCTACCGCCCCCCGAATCAGCAGCGTCCCCACCACTTCTGCTGCTGCACTCGGCTCCCGCCCAAGCTCTGCTGGCACCTTTTGCCCTTTAGCTCTGAATCCAGAGCTTCAAGACGCCTCCGCTGCCCACTGCTCCATCAACTAACTCTCTCTGTCTCTGTCTCTCTCTGTCTTTCTTAGCCTGTGTCCTCCCTTCTAAGCACGTCGCAGTGATGCAGTCACTTCTGCGAGGGTCTCCCTGGAGGGTGAAGATCCCCAAGAGCAGGACTTCGGGGGTCTTTTCCTTCAGGATGTCCTCCCCACATAAAGGGCTAGGAAGGAGCTGCCATGACAACTGCTCACGAAAAGCCGCCATCAGAGGAGCAATCTGTGACAAGCCTGAGCACAGCCACACTCACTGAACGTCGTCACGCATGGCCTCTATCTAAAACATGACACTAAATGCCACGCAAACAAACACCATGGGAACTCAAAGAAAGGCTTGGGCAGGACCATGACAAGTGCCAAGTCACCACACTTTCCTCTGGACGGGCTACAACAGTCTGGAGGAACTCTCCTCACGTGATCACTTACTGAAGACATGGCCTAGAGATCAAGGGGCAACACGCCCTGTCCCCTGCCTTCAAAAGCACGCAGTGCAGTGGGGAGCCTGGCCCACAGCACACATCTGTGGGGATGAGATAAGAGGGCCGGAAGGTGCTCGGTGAAGAGGAAGGACCAGAGACAAGGACCTGCAGATCGAGTGAGCCTGCAGGAGGAGCTCGGCCCCCCAGGCTGCCCGTGCCGAGTGGACAGAACTCAGCCTGGAGGGGAGTGACCAGGCTGTGGAGTGTGCCCGTCTACACCTGCGACAGTGACGAGCAGAAGAGGCGACTAACAGACGCTCTCACAAAGAACTTGCAATGGAAACAACAGAGGAAGAAACGGAGTGTGGTGGGAACTCACCGTGTGGCAAACTTCAGCTTTGATCTCTTTCAAGGCACGCTCAGAAAACACACAACCGCAGCATCGAAGGAAGCAAAACCTGGAGAGGGACCAAGGGAGAGCAGCTTGAGCCAGCACCGATCCCAGTGTGCAGAACGGGGCCACAGGGCAGAGCGGGGTCACGGAGCTGAGCGGGGCCACAGGGCAGAGCGGGGCCACAGGGCAGAGCGGGGCCACAGGGCAGAGCGGGGCCACAGGGCAGAGCGGGGCCACGGAGCTGAGCGGGGCCACGGAGCTGAGCGGGGCCACAGGGCAGAGCGGGGCCACAGGGCAGAGCGGGGCCACAGGGCAGAGCGGGGCCACGGAGCTGAGCGGGGCCACGGAGCTGAGCGGGGCCACGGAGCTGAGCGGACCGCTGTTCTGAGTGAGTTGAGCAGGGTGGGCAGAGTATGTTGGGGAAGGAGCCCACTGTGACTGGGCGCTGCTTCTCACAAGGCCCTACTCCGGCCCTAGGACAGCACAGAGGGACTCCAATGAGACCAGGGTCATTTCACCCATTCTGTCTCCACTCACCTGTGCCGGCCGTTCATCTCCAAGCCCACCACAGGGCAGATGAACCGTGCTCGCTGGAGGTCGTCATGCTTGTCGCCCTTGGTGTTTCCTTTATCTCCTTCCCAGGCAGGGTTGTCAGAAAGCCTGAGTTCTGTCACATTCTGTGGAGAACCATTAGTAATGCTGATGTGAAATGATCTCAGCACACCTGACCCACAGGCTGTGCAGGAGAGCAGCTCGGCCACCCTGGCCGGGGAGGAGGAGTGACTTCTATGGAATGCACATCATTTTGGTAGCACCAGAAAGAAAAGAATTGTAAGTCGAACCAATCTAAGACCGAGACCATTTATGTAACCTTTTCATGTTTGTTTGTGCGTGTGTGTAGTGTACGCATGTGAGTGTGTGTGTGTGTGCATGCGTGTGTGTGGTGTACGCATGTGTGTATGTGTGGTGTATGCATGTGAGTGTGTGTGTGGTGTACGCGTGTGTGTGTTGTACGCGCGTGTGTGTGGTGTATGTGTGTGGTGTGTGTATGTGTGTGGTGTACGCATGTGTGTATGTGTGTGTGGTGTGCGTGTGTGTGTGTGTGTGTGTGTGTGTGTGTGTGTGTGTGGCTCTGGCCTGGTCAGTGTCAGCTGTCTCCTCGTGATCCTCCTGCCTCCATCTCTTCAGCACACCTGACCGGCATGAGACAGTGCAGTCAGCTCAGACGTCCTCCTCTATCTCTCTTCAACTTATTTTCTCAGAAAGTCTAAGTGAACCTGGAGCTTGACAATTCAGCAAGACTAGCTGTCCAGTGAGTCTGAGAGAGCCTCCTTCTCACCTCCAAAGTGCTGAGATCACAGGCACATGCCACCATACCTGGTTTTTCACCTGGGTACAGATTTGAACTCAAGTCCTCAATCCAATTTTCAGAAAAGAATTTTAGTGTATTGTGTATTTACAGTACACCTGTGGAAGTCAGAGACTAACCTACTGTGTTCTTTCTCTACTTCTGCCATGTGGGTCCCAGGACGGAACTCAGGTTATACGTTTGCACCATCAGGTAGGCAGCAAGTGGTTTCACCCACTGAGCCATCTTGCTGGTGCTGAATTCAGTCTCTAACATATACAAATCCCATCAGAGCGACCTCACTCATTGAGGCCTCTGGACCACAACCCTTGTCCTACCTTGATGCTCCGAATGTGTGATGCTGCCTTCCCCAGAGCTTTTTCAGCAGACTTGTCCAACAGGAACTCGATGACAGCATCTTTGTTATATAGTCTGTAAGAGTGAGGACTAGTTTATACAACAGCAATAATTCAGATAACCAAACGGGGAAGAGAGAACTAAACATGATTAAAGTCACTCGCATTTGCTAACAAAATCCTGTGCTGCTAAAGGCAGGTGTAAACCCGCTTCAACTGCACACAGAGCAGGTGTAACCCTGCAGAGCACACAGAGCAGGTGTAACCTCCATGCAAGCACAGAGCAGGTGTAACCCCATGCAGAGCACACAGAGCAGGTGTAGCCCCATGCAGAGCACAGAGCAGGTGTAACCCCATGCAGAGCACAGAGCAGGTGTAACCTTGCAGAGCACACAGAGCAGGTGTAACCTTGCAGAGCACACAGAGCAGGTGTAACCTTGCAGAGCACACAGAGCAGGTGTAACCTTGCAGAGCACACAGAGCAGGTGTAACCCAAGCAAGCACACAGAGCAGGTGTAACCTCCATGCAAGCACAGAGCAGGTGTAACCCCATGCAGAGCACACAGAGCAGGTGTAACCCTGCAGAGCACACAGAGCAGGTGTAACCCTGCAGAGCACACAGAGCAGGTGTAACCCTGCAGAGCACACAGAGCAGGTGTAACCCCATGCAGAGCACAGAGCAGGTGTAACCCCCATGCAGGGCACACAGAGCAGGTGTAACCCTGCAGAGCACACAGAGCAGGTGTAACCTTGCAGAGCACACAGAGCAGGTGTAACCCTGCAGAGCACACAGAGCAGGTGTAACCCCATGCAGAGCACACAGAGCAGGTGTAACCATGCAGGGCACACAGAGCAGGTATAACCCCCAAGCAAGCACACAGAGCAGGTGTAACCCCATGCAGAGCACACAGAGCAGGTGTAACCCCAGCAGAGCACAGAGCAGGTGTAACCCTGCAGAGCACACAGAGCAGGTGTAACCCCAGCAGAGCACAGAGCAGGTGTAACCCTGCAGAGCACACAGAGCAGGTGTAACCCCAGCAGAGCACAGAGCAGGTGTAACCCTGCAGAGCACACAGAGCAGGTGTAACCCTGCAGAGCACACAGAGCAGGTGTAACCCTGCAGAGCACACAGAGCAGGTGTAACCCTGCAGAGCACACAGAGCAGGTGTAACCTTGCAGAGCACACAGAGCAGGTGTAACCCCATGCAGAGCACAGAGCAGGTGTAACCCTGCAGAGCACAGAGCAGGTGTAACCCTGCAGAGCACACAGAGCAGGTGTAACCTTGCAGAGCACACAGAGCAGGTGTAACCCTGCAGAGCACACAGAGCAGGTGTAACCCTGCAGAGCACACAGAGCAGGTGTAACCCTGCAGAGCACACAGAGCAGGTGTAACCCTGCAGAGCACACAGAGCAGGTGTAACCCCATGCAGAGCACAGAGCAGGTGTAACCCCCATGCAGGGCACACAGAGCAGGTGTAACCCCCAAGCAAGCACACAGAGCAGGTGTAACCCCATGCAGAGCACACAGAGCAGGTGTAACCCCAGCAGAGCACAGAGCAGGTGTAACCCTGCAGAGCACACAGAGCAGGTGTAACCCTGCAGAGCACACAGAGCAGGTGTAACCATGCAGGGCACACAGAGCAGGTGTAACCCCATGCAGAGCACAGAGCAGGTGTAACCCCCATGCAGAGCACACAGAGCAGGTGTAACCATGCAGGGCACACAGAGCAGGTGTAACCCCATGCAGAGCACACAGAGCAGGTGTAACCATGCAGGGCACACAGAGCAGGTGTAACCCCCAAGCAAGCACACAGAGCAGGTGTAACCCTGCAGAGCACACAGAGCAGGTGTAACCCCAGCAGAGCACAGAGCAGGTGTAACCCTGCAGAGCACACAGAGCAGGTGTAACCCCAGCAGAGCACAGAGCAGGTGTAACCCTGCAGAGCACACAGAGCAGGTGTAACCCTGCAGAGCACAGAGCAGGTGTAACCCTGCAGGGCACACAGAGCAGGTGTAACCTTGCAGAGCACACAGAGCAGGTGTAACCCCAGCAGAGCACAGAGCAGGTGTAACCCTGCAGAGCACACAGAGCAGGTGTAACCCTGCAGAGCACAGAGCAGGTGTAACCCTGCAGAGCACACAGAGCAGGTGTAACCTTGCAGAGCACACAGAGCAGGTGTAACCCCATGCAGAGCACAGAGCAGGTGTAACCCTGCAGAGCACACAGAGCAGGTGTAACCTTGCAGAGCACACAGAGCAGGTGTAACCCTGCAGAGCACACAGAGCAGGTGTAACCCCATGCAGAGCACACAGAGCAGGTGTAACCCTGCAGAGCACACAGAGCAGGTGTAACCCTACAGAGCACACAGAGCAGGTGTAACCCTGCAGAGCACACAGAGCAGGTGTAACCATGCAGGGCACACAGAGCAGGTGTAACCATGCAGGGCACACAGAGCAGGTGTAACCCTGCAGAGCACACAGAGCAGGTGTAACCCTGCAGAGCACACAGAGCAGGTGTAACCCTGCAGAGCACACAGAGCAGGTGTAACCCTGCAGAGCACACAGAGCAGGTGTAACCCTGCAGAGCACACAGAGCAGGTGTAACCATGCAGGGCACACAGAGCAGGTATAACCCCAGCAGAGCACAGAGCAGCTACTTGAGTCAGGGTGGCAGACTGCCAGGCTCGACTACACCTGAACAAGGACTTTAAGACGTGGAAAATCACCGTGAAAGTCCTTCCTTCCCTGCTCTTAAAAATAAGGGTCAGAAGATTACAACTCCAGCCCTGCCCCCGCCCCTTTAGGCAGGCCATGCCCTCTCCAGTTCTCCAACTCCCTGCTTCTCTTTTCAGTGCTCATGGCTGCTTCAGGTTTATACCTTAGTGGCTACTATTGGCTCCTGAGGGTAAACCAAACTGAGGAAGAAGGTGCAGAGCTATGGCCAGACCCAGGCTCATCTTCCCCACTACCATCTGCTTAGGACAGTTCCTAGTTGATTGCTCAAGCACCTGAATGTTCTCGTCAAAATCAACAGAAGCAATTCATCTTGACTCAGTAAGGAATCCATACCTGCCAAGTTCACAGGCAACGATCGGACGCCTCAGGATTTCCTGACTGAGAGTACAGTAGTTCCACTGGGCCACCAGCTCGGCATCTTTGTCGACCTGAGACAGAAAACACACACAGTCCTTTCAGGTAAAATGTACCTGCTGCCATACGGTGGTGATTTGAATGAGAAATGTCCCTCACTGGCTCACGCTCCTGGACACTTGGTCCCCACTGGGTGGTGCTGTTTGGGAAGTTAAGAAACCCCGGAGGTGTAGCCTTGCTGGAGAAAGCACAGTCCTAAGGTGGGCCTGCGGGATTTATAACCCTGTCCCACACCTTGCTCACTCTCTGCTTCTGTGTGGATGAAAATATGGCCAGTCAGCTTCTTGTTCTGTCACTGGCTGCCATGGACTCACCCTCAGGAAGCATAAGCCAAAATAAACGCCTTGCTAAGTAGCCTTGGTCATGGTGTTTTATCACAGCAACAGAAAAGTAACTAACGTACATGCTATGATGTTCCTAATTTTTAAATCAAGGATACTGACACACACCTAGGAGCAGTCATGACTATAATCCCAGTACTTGAGTCTGAGGCAGAGGATAAAGTTGGAGGCCAGCCTGGATAACCCAACAAGACCCTGCTTCTAAATGAAAACAATGGACCCAGAGGGACAGCTCAGAGGGACTGGCACTTGCCTCCATGTCTGATGACCCGTGATGGGGAAGTCATGTGTATATGTCAATAAAGCATTGTTGGCCAATAGGGAAGCAAGATAGGAGGGACTAGGAGTCGAGGAGGACTCTGGGTAGGAGAAACACAGGGAGTCACGATATAGCATGCCAGAGAAGTAAGATGTCCGGAACTTTTCTCCGGTAAGAGAAATACTTAGATTAACAATTATGGGGTAAATACTTAAGTCAGAGCTAGCCAGTAAGAAACAAGCAAGACCAACAGCTTCATAATTAATGCAGTGTCTTGTGTGTTATTTGGGGACTACAACATGGCAGAGTCCAGGCAACTGGTGGGGAAAAACCAAAGCGGCTGGCAAGGAAAAGGCTTCTCTCTACAAACCCGAGTTTGTCCCTGGAACCCACATGATAAAGGAGAGAACTGACTCCTGCAAGCTGCCCTCTGACCTCCACACATGTGCCATCTATGTGCCATAGCCCCCAACCAAATAAATATACGTATTTTAATAGCTGTAAAAAGAGAGTTGGGAAGTGGGGTGCACACCTTTAATCCCAGCACTGGGGAGGCGGAGTTCAAGATCAGCCTGGTCTATAGAGCAAGTTCTAGGATAGCTAAGATTACACAGAGAGACCCTGTCTTGAAAAAAAACAAAAACCAAAATAGCCCCCCCAAAACCCCTACAAAATTACAAAAAGAAAACATGTAAATGGCTGGGATGTGAAGAATGCGGAGGGCGGAAAGACATTTGACTAACACGCATGGAGACCTAGGTTCAATCTCCAGTGTCATAAAGTTGATCTGACCTCCACATATGCAGCACATAACACAAATTTTAAAAAGGTTTTAAATTAATATTATGTTAAATAAAGACCCACCAACATCTGACACACAAAACAAGTTCACATCACATATTAAACTGTGTGTACAATCACTATAAACAAACAGAATTGGGGGAGTGGAGGGAGTGAGCGAACCACTTTGCACACACTAAAAGGGGCTCGACCTCTGATCTAGCCCCAGCCCTACACATCAACACTAATGTATTCCACAGTAAATTAACCTTATAGAACACGGCATTTCTTTCCGCAATATGCAGAGGGTATAAAAATGCCAAGTTACAAGGCTGGCCAAGGCTCAATGTTTGAGAGCATTACTAAAAGCTGGGAGGTGGTGGTGGCAGCGGCGGCGGCGGCACACACTTTTAATCCCAGCACTCGGGAGGCAGAGGCAGGAAAATATCTGTTAGTTGAAGCCAGCCTGATCTACAAACTGACAGGACAGCCAGAGCTGGTACACAGAGAAACCCTGTCTCAAAAAAACAAAAACAAAAAACAAACAAACAAACAAAAAACTGCTCTTGCAGAAGACCCAGTTTTGGTTTCCGTAACCATGTTAGGCAGCTCACAATTCCAGTTCCAGGGAACTCTAATTCCCTTTTCCAGCCTGTTAAGAGAAGCTTTTTCCTTGCTAGCCGCTTTGGTTTATCCCCCGCCAGTCGCCTGGGCTCTGCCGCGCCAGCCTGTTTCGAGATCCGCATGAGTCCCAAATAAACACACAGGAGGCTATATTAATTATGAAGCTGTTGGCCTTGCTTGTTTGTTACTGGCTAGCTCTGACTTAAGTAATTACCCCATAATTGTTAATCTGAGTATGTTTCTTACCGGTGAATAGTTCCCGGCTTCCTACCCCATGCGGTTACATCTCGAACTCTCTTGTCTTTCTCCTTCCCAGAGTTCTCCTGGACTCCTAGTCCCTCCTATCTAGGTTTCCTATAGGCTCAACAGTACTTTATTGACAAATGCACAGGACTTCCCCCAACATCTCCTCTTTTCTGTTTAAACAAAAAGAAAGGTCTTAACTTTGACATAGTCAAATCATATATAACAGAACAGTTATCAAATAAGAATACAGTTGTAATATTTTGTCTATCAACATTTAGCAAGATTTAAAGAAAATATCATCCATCCCATCCTTGTGAGTACAAAGTCCTATATGTAGCTTTTCTTTTATCATAACTAAGGAAAACTATAATTATAACTATCTGTCTTCAACTCTATCAAAGACCACAGAAGGATAATATATAAACACTAGGATTGACAGAGATATCTTACTGCCTGGCCAGTCACCCGAAGTTCCTCTGTAACGTTGGGGCATCCATCTTCAGCCCATAGGCCACAATGTATCTGGAACACTTCTCAGCAAAGCAGGAAATTTCAAACTGTCCATCTGCATCAGCAGTCTGTCAGTCATTTTTCTGTGTCCTGCAGAAAGTCCCGTAGACTCTTTCATGCAGCAGGAACCCTGTAAGACTTAGTTCAGCAGTCACATCCCTATGGGTCCTGCATGTCCAGATTATACAACAATAGTCAAACAGTCTAGGCAAGAGCAGTTTCTTGCCCAAATGGCTAATCTTGCCATGTTGAAAGCAAACTCCATAACAAGTTTCTTCGATGCCCATCTTCCTCTCAGACATAATTGGTGCTGCCAGGAACAGACATTTCTCATTGTCAAGAAAAACCATAAACCATTTTAAATGCCATGTTCTGAAGGTCTTTGAGAGGTTTGAAGACTATCTATCTATCTCAAATATATTTCTGTATATCTAGAACACCTAACTTACCTAACTATAAATTCTATTATAAGTAACTATCTAGGAGCGGGATTGAAATCCGGATCCAGGCACCCCGGAAAAGCGGCTTCTCTTGGCCCGGCCAGGCACACGTGGACTCTCCTTTCGCTAAGTTCCTCACCACTTCGCTCGGCAAGGCACGATTCCTGCCGCCAGGAACCAGCACCTACTACCTGCCGGTAAGGTCAGGCGGTATTCCAAGATTTCTCTTGCGGCCACGTGCTGTTTTACTGGCGGCCTGCTGACTCCGGCCACGTGCTCTTTCGCTGGCAGCCTGTTGATTTCGGCCTGAATTACTCCATTGGTAACAAACGTAACTGCTTTATACAATGTCAACAGCTAACACTATGATGCAGGATGTTAAGAATTTTCTTGTTTTTTGTATGGATGGGATTTTAGAAAGGGTTGAGGACCTACCTGAAAGGTACTTCCTACCCACGATGGTGACTATTAGCTTCATAATCAATATAATTTTGTTAATGAAATGGCTCAAAAATAGGAATAAACTTATACAGGTCATACAGTCATCGCAGGATAGTTTTGAAATCTTAATACAAAGGATTCAGGAAGTGCAAAATTCATTGCAGGAGAGTAAGAAAGGGTTGGTAGATAATATTCAGGATATTAAAAATGATAATGTAGGTCTGACGAACAGATTTAAAGAGACGGAACACAAAATTGAATTACTATCAGGAAAAATGTGTTCCACAGAGAGAATTGAAAAATTGGAACATAATGTGGAAACATTTAACGAAAAACACGGTTCCATGTTTGATGATTTCACTAGCAAATTACAAAGACTGGAACATAAAATTGAAATGCTAGCAGAAAAGAATTGTTCCATGTCTGAGAGCAATGATAAACTAACTGATAGAATATCATTTGTAGAAGGCAGTTTACATGCTATTGAGGTACTTGCTAAGGATGAGAATATTAGAAATTTGGAATCACATGTAAATGATGAATGTAAAAAATGAAAGATTCCATGACGTCCTTAGAAAATTATTTGTCCCAAGAACTTCAGGAGCTCAGAGAAACAATGATGAATAGACTGCAGGATTTAGAAGACACTCAATCTGATACTTCAGAGTCAGAAATACAGGCAACAGGTCAGGACAGGAGTTTCCCAAAGCTTCTCAAATGCCGGAATGATTTCCCTAAGGTTGCTATGCGTTCCCTATGGTTTTTCCGGTATCTGTAACAGAAAAACCAGCAACGAAAAAACAATCAAATGGTCCCATTGCTTATCACTGGGAGCCTATACAGATGAAGGATCTAAAAAATATTAAGGAGGCCATTGTCCTGTATGGTCTTCATTCTCCCTTTGTCAGAGAGCTCCTAACCTCATGGGCTACTGTAAATAAAGTAACCCCAAAAGACTGGGCCCAATTAGCCTCTGCAGTGCTCGAAAATTCTTGCCAAATTCAATGGAGAGCTTTGTGGAGGCAAGAAGCAAAAGCAATTGAGATTCAGGAATTGCAGAAGGGTCATGAAGTACCCCAAGACAAGATTCTTGGGGAGGGTCCTTATGCTGACACGCAGGTTCAATCTGCATATGACGAGCACATGTTGTCTTTGTGCCGTACAGCTGCTTTAAATGCCTTGGATAAGGTTTGTGAAACAGGAGAGATAATGCAACCCTACACCAAGGTATTACAGGGCCCAAGGGAAAGGTTCACTGAATTTTTAGAGAGATTATCCAGAGCAGTAGAAGTACAGGTAGCGAACCCAGAATCCAGGCGTCTTCTTATAGAATCTTTGGCGTATGAGAACGCGAATCCTCAATGCAGGCAGGT